GCCCGCTGCCCCCCCCCCCCCAAACACTCAAGAGTGTTTCTAAACGCACACCTCGCTCTCCACCCCTGTTTCATCGCGCGCGCAGAAACGATTCCACCTCCGGCGGCAACGACAACAACGACCCGTCGGCACGCGGCAGCGACGCCGGCGGCGGCCTCGGCGGCCTCGGCGGCGGCTCCGCCTCCCACCGTCGCGGCGGCCTGCAATGGGGCAGCTCCGGCGACTATGGGAGCGACGCCGAGATGTCCGACTTCGAGGGAGAGGCCTCCGTCTTTGGGGCCGGCGGCGGCGCGAAGTCCGAGTTCGGCGGCGGAAGGTCAGGGTTCGGCGCCTCCCTTACCGGGGGAAGCACCTCTACAAACCAGGCCGGTAGCGGTGGGCGCACCAGCACGAGGGCCTTCGGCGGCCCGGCGAGCGGCGGAGGCCACCGGCAGGCCCGTAGCAGCCGGTCGCGGTCACGCAGCGACTTCGGCGGGGGCGGCGGCGGCGCCCTGGGCGTGATGCGGCAGTCGAGCTGGAACAAGAGCGGCACCATAGACAACTCGCCGCAGCTCAACGCCAGCGGGAAGGTGATCGACACCGGCATCGGCGTCATGCCCGCTCTCGAGCTCGCGCGACAGGAGGCCGGCCTCGGCGTTGGGTCCATCCCGGGCAGCCAGCTCTTGACGCCGGTGGGCGGCGGGGCTGGCGGGGCGCTGGGGGACACTGGGGGCTTCGGCGGCGGGGGGGGGGGCAGCGTCATNGGGGGGGGGGGGGGGGGGCAGCGTCATGGGAGGGGGGAGCATCGCGGGAGCGCTGGGGCTGGAGGAGACGACTGGGTGGGACGAGGAGGATGACGAGCTTTCTCAGGTCCCCCAATACCTCAAGGGCCGCGAAGAGCTGGAGCAGTCGCTAGGTGGGAGGAGGTTTGAGTTTTGGATTTTTGTGTGGAGAGAGCAACAAGAGGTTGCGCTGTCCGCTGCTGCGCCGCAATAGAGCGAGGTACCGCGGCAATACTCTACACTGCTCTGCGTCGTCCCCACTGCGCCCGGGACAATGCTCTTCCCACCCCAATGAGCGTTTTTTTTTTTTTTCGTCCTGTATGTCTTTTTTCTTTTCTGCTCTAAATTAACTCAGAGGAGGAGCTGATGGCGACGCCGTTCGAATCGTACGATCTCTTCCGGGGGAAGCTGCTTGGCGGCGGAATCGGCGGCAGCACCCTCAAGAAGGTATTATCTAGAAGCGGCCACCAACACCACAAATCCGCTCAAGGGTGTTGGTTAGGTGTCGTCGTCAGCAGCAGAAGCAGCAGCTGGTTGGTTGGCTGGAGCGTGATCGAGCGAAAGAGTCTATGTGCCCTTTCGTTTGCCATGAGCTAAACATTGTCCGAGAGGGCATTCGTTGACTATTGGAGAGTTTGGCGTCGAGCAAGCTATGGCTTTGACGGCGTCCAACTCATGCGAAGCTCGACCAGGAGGCCCCAATAGAGCAGTTGTTGACCTATCTTCCCTCGGTCGTGCGTCGTTCGTGTTTTCCCGAGTCATCCGAGGGAGTGGTTACGTTGCCGAGCCAATCCGTGGTATATTCAACGTGATTGCTATCTTGTAGAGTCGGCTGGCTCTCAGGCTGTGTACCGAGTGTGGGTCAGCTGCTACGGTTTTGAGCGCCCTTTCTGTTCCGTTGCCGACCTTCACCACCCCTCCTACTTCCGCGAACCCTGATTCGTTTGTCTCCTTTTCCAACGTGCCGTCGCGCACAATAAACGGCCCACGAGTGCACGGCCAATCGTGGAAGGCTGGTGACGATTACGCGCGCGAATCGATTGCGCTGCCCCTGACGTCATATCACCTATGTTTTTTTGCCCGGTACGCACAATTTATATACGAACCTCGCACACGCGCCCTCCCCCTAAACAAACACACGCACGCATGTAAATTTGTAGCTATTCATAGCTGCTGCTGTCCCTCGCTCTCTGTATTCGTAAACGCATTCCCCTCCTCCAAAAAAGGTGGGCAAGCTGAAGTGCATCGTGAGGGTTACCGAGGGAGACCCCGACGACGAGCCGCTGTTCGTGAACAAGAAGAGCTTCCCGACCCTTGCCAAGGCCAAGGCCAAGAACGACATCATCCTCGCGGAGCTCCTCAAGGTAACGGTAGCGGTAACGGTAGCGGTAACGGTATCGTTTATTTGTGGTTCTCTTGTTACGTTGTTGTTGTTGGCGCTGGCTTGTTGTGTTGGATGTCTAGAAAACGCAGGCCGAGGGATGGTGGATCGCTGAAGGAGAGGAGACCACGGCTTCTGTAGCACATGTCGCGCACGTTAGAAGAAGGTGTCCCGCACACGCTAGTCATAACGCTGTCGCTGCCTCTACTTTCCTCGCACCACACCGCATCCCTACGCACACACGCACGAGAGACTCCCACGTGTCGTTCACCAGCCGTCATCCCGTTGTGGTTGTTCGTTGTTATCGGTTTTTGCCGTTGAACAGCCGAAGGGGTACAAGGTGAGGCTGTACGTCCTGCAAGCCCTGAACCTGACCGCGATGGACGTCGGCATCGGCGGCAGGCCTGGCAAGTCTGACCCTTACCTCAAGGTCAAGCTGGGCAAGGAGGTGAGAGGGAAACGCCGGTTGCGGATAAAGTGCAAACATTTGTATTAAAATACTCAAGAAGTAGAGGCGAAAGAAAAGAGAAAGAACAGATGCATGGCTCCTTTTCGCACTCAAGCCTGATGCTTGCTGTGATGCAAGCCTTGAACCACCGACGGCCTCTTGTTTAGTCACTCCAGTCGTTCGGTGTTTTGCGCAAGGGACGTGTGCCCCCCCCCCCCCCGCACGCGCCCTGAGACGGTACTTATTGCTGCTTTTTTCTCCGCGGCCTTTACTTTATTGGTTTTCTACACCTTGATCACAGGTGTCAACGTAAGTTTGGTTCGTTCGGGGTATCCTACTTGTAGCGTAAGAAAATGTCTAAGGTTGGTGTTAGGCGTGACTTGCGTACGTTGTTCAGATTTTTTTCAGCAGCCCATCGGCAAGTTGTGCAATGAAATATGGTGACTAGCTCCACGCGGAACGCGACACGCCGGGACGGGATCTCAGGCACCCCTTTGCATGCACGCGCCCGAGGCATTGTGTGTAAATATTTAGATGCAACGGACGGATGGGGCGGTTTGTTATCTATCCCCGCTGAAGTCACGCACTGCCGACGACGCCAACACCAACTATCTTTTTTGTCTGCCCCGCCCGTCCGCTCCACTCGCGTTGTGCACACGCACAATAATACAAAAAAACCGTCAACAATTACGACAAAAAAACAGAGTTTCGACGACAAGAAGAACTACATCGAGGACGTGACGGATGCCGACTTCTACAAGTGCGTCGAGATCAACGGACTTCTCCCGGGAGCCAGCCAGCTGGAGGTAGAACCTGAACGCCTGTCCGGTCTGCCTTCACCGCCCAACCGCTGTGCTCAGATATGTTAGCCGCGCCCCGCCTGAAGCTCCCCAGGTGTTGGTTTGTTCTCGGGGTAATGTAAATAAGCACGGGGTAATTATGTCAGGGTAATTNGGGGGGGGGGGGGGGGGGGGGGGGGGGGGGGGGGGGGGGGGGGGGGGGGGGGGGGGGGGGGGGGGGGGGGGGGGGGGGGGGGGGGGGGGGGATGAGCAACAGGACAGGATAGATGGAAGTGACGCAAGTAAATGTTGGTCCGATATGAACCGTGCGCTCTCTCTTGAAAGAAAGTTCGTAGCTGCTGTCTGTGTGCATGTAATCACGCGCGTTGTCTGCTCTGCATCGTGAGAGTGTGTCACTCTGTTTTTGTTTTTTTTCGGGAAGAGTGTGCTCCGAGTGGCTCCGCCGTGAGAGGGCGGCCCCACGTCAGTGCACGGGACCCCCTCCACCCTTCGCAGGGGATGGGTGGACCTACCTACCACGCATTTTTTTTTTTTTCATGGGGTCCGCCACCCTAATAGACGAGAAACCCCGTTTGGCTATTTGCATGTGGTAGTAAAGCACACAACAGCACTTTCTCCTCCCTCCACCCCATTCGATTGTTACACGGCATATTTGGCACTGTTGCTACTATGTTGGGTGCTGTTGTTTGTCTTTGTCCAGATCGACGTTATGGACTACGACGACATCGGGCGGGATGAGCTTATCGGGAGGACCGTGATCGACTTGGAGGACCGGTGGTTCGACACGAGATGGCAGGTGAGCGCGCGATAAACAGAAGCGCTTCTGTTGGTGCTAGCGCTGGTGTTGCTTCTATTTGGTGCTGTCGTTGGTGTCGAGCCTTAAGAACTCGCATCATCCCCAGCTCCCATTCTCTCGCTCTCTCGTTGCTGGCTGCTGTAATATTTTTTGGGGTGTGTTGGGTTTGGTGAGTGACGGATAGTAGTCCCCGGAGGCCACAATTTTGATGCGCTCATCCTTCCGTGAGAGCCCTAACGAACGCGGTGCAGTACAGCAGGTGGTCCGACATAGCGGCATTAGGGGCATGAGGAGAAAATGCCACTATTCAGGGCTGTGACACTATTCGATATCTCGTTCTCATGTGTATATTGAGACTGTGACAAAAGATTCTGATGCCACTGCTATATCGGCAGTTCCACTATTCAAGCTGACGCTTTATCGGGCCACCTACTGTATTTCGGCGGTGGTTGATTTTCTGACAAGGTCCTAAGTCCCACCTCGGAACAAAGGCGGGTTCGCAGAAGCGTCGGGGCGCGCCATTGTGGTTGGGAAAACATAGTAACAGCTGTAGCGGAACTACAGTCAACAACTAATTGCGTGATGATGATTTTCGTTATCGATCCTCCTCTGACGCGTGGTTTTCCAGGCATGGGGCATTCAAAACAGGTCGGAGGACATGAACAACATGCGATTTCAGACCAAGCCTTTGGAGACGAGAACCCTCCTCGTGCCCACCAGGTATACGGAGAGTTGTTGTGATATGCATAGCACCCTCTGGGGTGGTGGTTGAAATTGGTTGGTACGTTTTGCGTTGTTGTTGGTGGTGATGGTAGTTGGCGTTGGTGTTGGTGTTTGGTGTTGCTGTTGCTGTGGCGGTGGTTGTGGTTAGCGGTCATGGTTGCCAACGAAGGCTCGGGCCGCTCACGTCAAGTCGGTTTGCCGCTTACCACTTACCACTAGACCGCCTTCGTGTGTGTCTCGCTGCCAAGAAAAATACAAGAAGTCAACAATGTTATGCATACCTTAGAAGGGTTACCCCCGTTGCCGGCCTCAATGATGGTCAGGAATGACCTACCTCGTGCGGTCGCGGAGTGCCATCAACTTCCCGAAGTAAGAAATTACGGGGACAACCGACCCACCCTCCCTTGCAAGCAGCAGTCTTAGCTTGACGCACACGCGCCCCCCCACTCCCGCTTTGACATGGCTGCGGAAACGATATCTCGTCCTAACAACTGTTAGCAAAGAAAGTTTTTGTCGAGAAGTAACCGAGGACGCGATTCCCTCTCCCCGCCACTTCGACTCTCACCCCTCGCACCTTACCACGATACCCTGTGCTGATGCTCTCGGTTCCAGTCTAATCTTACGTCGTTGTGCCCCCCGTTCTTTTTTTTTTTTCGATGTTTGCTGGTAAACTCAAAGTCTGGCACCGCAAGGGCAGCTGAGGTGCTGGCTGGACATCATGTCCGCTGAGGATGCAAAAGCCTTCCCACCGGACGATATCTCGCAGCCTCCGAACCGCGACTTCGAGGTAAACGCGGGAAAAGGGGGTGGTGTTGTGTTGCCCTTGGTATGCATACGAGTCAGAGAAACGAGCGCCATAGCACCGGCGTGTTCAAGTGTTTCCATGTGCTAGGTGACAACATGGTTGGGGGGTTTTCATGGTCGACCGGAAGACATACAATCGTATTACGAAAGTATGAGAGCACCCGTTGGGGGCGGTGTTAGCTACGATTGCTGGAAGTGATGGGCGCAGTTTGTCTGTGTTTGTAAAAGTGGTGTCTGGTATTTTGTGAGTGTAGCAGGTGGTGGTGTGTGTAGGCCCGTGCTTTGTGTGGTTCCGTTCGCATCCCAACAGCAAGCCGACAGGCGGTCCCGGAGGCGGCGACGGTGGCCCCGCGGAATCACCACAGGTTACTTGCGAGTACCGTGTCTCCATTCGCAACGTTCATTTCTGCTTCCCCCCCCCCCGTACCCACCTTCATGTTATTCCGTTGTTTGTTTTTTCACTCGACCTGCCCGCATCAATGACCAACCAGGTTCGAGTGGTGTTCTGGAAGTGCAAGGACGTGGTGGCCATGGACACGGTCACGGAGCAGAACGACCTGTTCGTTCGGAGCTGGGTGGAGGGCTGCGACGCCCAGGAAACGGACACGCACTGGTGACTTATGATATGACGTTATTTTTTTGCTCACAAGCAGGCACAACAAATAATTTCATCTCTTCCAGAGATAAGAGCGTGGGGTAAAATAGCAATGGATCCATTGTAAATGGTGTTGTATGATGACCAGCTTGCGTTTCTGCGGTTCCCCAAGCAGCATGCAGCGATCGATACTGTAACTCCCTACCATTGGACAATCGGCGCTGACAAGGGGAGTCACCCTTCTCGGAAGTGAAAGTGACGGGGCTCACGAATCCCACGACTGACTGTTATAGAAGCCGAAGTCAAACCATTAGACTAGTCAGCGCTATCTAGTCTAATGGTTTGATTTCGACTTGTATATGCCCCATGGGTAACGGGCTCAACGAGACGGAACGTTGTGCCACATATGCCGTACGTACTTATAGTACTTCGAAGTAGAATATATAGGTGTCGATCGTCGGTGTGCAAATAGCCGATCGAGAGCTTGCGCAGGCGATCGGCGAGACTCGTGTTTTTTTGGGGTGGCGAGGACGATGGACGGGGTGGGGGTAACAAGAGGTGACGAGTAACGACAAGAGTGAGGGAAGTAGTAGGACATGGAAATCGGGCCGTCCAAATCAAGGAGTGACCTCCGTGATCGTGGTTCCCATCGCCCCGTGGGATGGGAGAAGGTCGTCCGAACCATGGACGCAGGGTACCTTCCGTGATCATCGTTCCCGTTGCCCGTTCCCCCCGTTTACCGTGGCAATCACACATGCTTCCTCCTGTGACGGCTACGTCTGGCACTCAGTTTTTTTTTTTCTCTGTCCCTCGACGTGCTCGTAACGCCGGGTAGGTTCGCGAAGAAGGGCAAGGGCTCTTTCAACTGGCGGATGAAGTTCAAGGTCTCGCTCGGCCCCCGCACAAGGGCGTGGAAGTTCCCGTACCTGACCGTGCAGGTGATTTTGGTTCGCCCCATATATTGTTTGCCATATTTTTTGCGGGTTTTGCTGCAGGTTTGATTTATGTCTTGTCTTCGTTGATTTTGGTGGTGACGTCGCTCGAAGTTTGTGAAAAGCGGTCGCTGCCTCCCTGCCTGCCCCTGACGCTCACGTCACTCTGCAGCAGCACCGGGCGGAACTGCCGTTGAGGTTGTGGATTGGATGGGTTTCCCTGCTGTTTTTGGGCGTGTTTGCTTGCTGGCTGTCGTGCTGGTTGCTGAGGCTGCGTCTCTCGCGGGGATATACTAGGCTTCGGCCTCCTCTCACGTCGTGTTGTTTGGTGTCGATTGAGAACGTACACAAGATGTTTGAACAAATCATACTGTCGTAGAGTGAGCTTGACGTGACCTGCATGCCTTTTGATTGACCCTGTCTGCCGGAGGCTGGCCATGGTATTTCTGGGATCCCATGCTACTCGTGGTATATGTCTGCGTGGGCGACTGCTGGGTCTCGATCTATCCCACTATTGTTTCGTAGCTCCGATTTCCGCCGCTCCCGACTGGAGCGTGCTCCAGTGGCTATTGTGAAACTGGCAGTAGACTACCGTCATTGGGTCGTTTGCACTTCTTCCCCTACCCCTTTCCGTCTACCTCGCTCTCGCGGTAAATACAGCAGTACCCGTAGCGCTATAAGGATGCGGTACACCGGGGTTGTCATGATGTCATGATGCTACGATTTATTTTTCTCCATGCAGATAACTGTGAAGTCTTTGTGCACTCACCCACATCATCCTCTCTCTTGTCCTTGTCTGTCTCTTTCTGCCGCACGTGTGCGTCCAGCATATTACATTGATCTCTGACCGCCGTACTCCAATCCCATGTTTCATTGAAGCTCACTCTAGCCGCTCCCCGCCCTATAACCCACACACCTCTTTCTTTCCCTTTTTTCTTTCGTGGTCCAGCTGTGGGACCGAGACTTGTTCAAGTTCAACGACCACATCGCCGAGGGCCAGCTGGACCTCGGTCCGTACTTCATCAAGGCCTACAAGACCTCTGAAACCGTCAAGCTCTTCCCCACCCTCGACCCCAAGCTAGAGGCCATGCGAAAGGCGGATGTAAGCATACATCTGTACACGCGGAATGGGTCTGCGTTTGTTGCTGTTGCTAGTGCTCCTTCATGTTGTTGTTGTTGTCATCTTGAAATCGAAAAACCGTTCCGGTCTCTGCTCAGTACCTGCTAGCATCACCTGTTCGTTGTGGTAAGAATTAAAATCGATCACCGATGGCGTGTACAGTAATTTAGAGCTGGAGACGCCGTCGTCGGAAAAGACGGAAACGAATGGCATTTTTTTTTTGTAAACCAGCGAAACAAGAATGCCTCCGTTTACCAAGAAGAATACGACTTTGTGTGGGGAACACTTGCGTTCGTCCACTGCTTCTGCGTAACGCTGAGCTTGTTCCCGGCTTGTGCGTGTGTGTGTGTTGCGATATAGTTTGCTTCCACCCGCATGTTTTTTTTTGTGATTTTTTTTACACATAGCAGCAGCACAAAGAAGTGTGGACCGTAAGTCGTTTGGGGATTGGGTAGAGGACGGCGGGGGCTGACGTTTTTCTTTTTTCGTTTGATGGTCTGTCAATCTGTCTGTTCCTTCCTTCCTTCCTTCCTTCCTTCCTTCATCGGCCGGTCGGTGTCCTTGCTCTCTCCGCAGGTGGGGAACATGGACGTGGACGCCGCGCTGGAGGGGAACGATGCTGCGAAGGAGCGCCTCTTGGCGGGACTCGAGAGCGGCCCCGCGGCGTACGACCCGGAGAGGGGGGAGAGGCCGCCGCCCCCCGCGTACAACAACGTTACCTCGAATGGGTCGGAGATCGTCGGCGGCGTTAACAACCTCTACGAGGTGAGAATGACAAAAAAAAAAGAAACGTTTTTTTTTTTTCTATTGACATAACAATGAGAAGCGTGAGACGCCGGGAGCGGTGATAGGATTTGACAGCAATGCATCGTGTTTTCATTCTTTTTCTTTTTTCCTTTTAATGTTTTTGTTTTCTTATGTTTGATCGTGAAGATTGTATGAACGAGCAGCGGATGAGACAGGGTGTGTTGGCTACCTGTATGTTCCTTACTTGAGGCTTTAGAGGAGATACCTTTGTGATAGTACATGTACAAGGTACACCGTAAAATACGGAGGTGGCGTGCGGAACTGCTGTAGACGTAGGTTGACCTCGTACAAGACGCACCCTTCAGCGTGAGGTACTGCAACAACAACCCCCCCCCCCCCCCCCCCCCCCCCCCCCCCCCCCCCCCCCCCCC